ACATATAAGTTTAATATTATGTGTGAATTTAATCCTGCCATTTTGATACTAGCTAGTTGTTTTGCCTATTAGTTGATGCAGTTTCTTCATTGTGTAGATGATCTTTACCAACTGGTATGTTTTTGCAGTGGCTTGTACTGATTGTTCCTTTCCATGTTTAGTGTTTCCTTCAGGAGCTCTTATAAGTCAGGCCTGATGGTGATGAAATCTCTCAGCAATACTTGTCTATAGAGGATTTTATTTCTCTTTTACTTATGAAGCTTAATTTGGCTGGATATGAAATTCTGGGTTGAAAGTTCTTTTCTTTAGGTATGTTGAATATTGGTCCCCAGTCTCTTCTGGCTTGTAGGGTTTCTGTTGAGAGATCCACTGAGTCTGATGGGCTTCCCTTTGTGGGTAACCCAAACTTTCTCTCTGGCTGTTCTTAGCAATTTTTTGTTTTACTTATTTCAGCCCCGGTGAATCTGACACTTTCATGCCTTGGGGTTGCTCTTCTTGAGGAATATCTCTGTGGTGTTCTCTGTATTTCCTGGATTTGAATGTCGGCCTGCCTTGCTAGGTTGGGAAAGTTCACCTGGATAATATCCTGAAGAGTGTTTTCCAACTTGGTTTTGTTCTCGCTGTCACATTCAGATACACCAATCAAACGTAGATTAGGTCTTTTCACATAATCCCATATTTCTTGGAGACTTTGTTCATTTCTTTTCTTTTTTCTCTAATCTTGCCTTCTCATTTTATTTCATTGAGTTGATCTTCAATCTCTGATACACTTTCTCCTGCTTGATTGATTCAGCTATTGAAACTTGTGTATGCCTCGTGAAGTTCTCATGCTGTGTTTTTCAGCTCCATCAAGTCATTTATTTTCTTCTCTAAGTCGATTATTCTAGTTAACATTTCATCTAACCTTTTCTCAAGGTTCTTAATTTGTTTGCATTGGGTTAGAACATGCTCCTTTAGCTTGGATAAGTTTGTTATTATCCACCTGGTGAAGCCTGCTTCTGTCAGTTGGTCAAACTCATTCTTCATTCAGTTTTGTTCCTTTGCTTGTGAGGAGTTGTGATTCCTTGGAGGAGAAGAGATGTTCTGGTTTTTGGTGATTTCAGACTTTTTGCACTGGTTTCTTCCCATCTTTGTGAATTTATCTCCCTTTGGTCTTTGAAGTTGTTGACTTTTGCATAGGGTCTCTGAGTGGACATCCTTTCTGTTGATGTTGAAGCTATTTCTTTCTGTTTTTAGTTTTCTGTCTAACAGTTGTCCCCCTCTGCTTCAGGACTGCTGGAGGTCTACTCCAGACCCTGCTTCCCTGGAAATCACCTGCAGTGGCTGCAGAATAGTAAGGGTTGCTGCCTCTTCCTTCTTCTTGTAAGTTCATCCCAGAAGGGTACCTGACAGATGTCAGCCAGAACTCTTCTCTATGAGGTGTCTCTAGTGATATATAGGGGTCATGTAACTACTTGAGGAGGTAGTCTGTTGTTTTTCAGAGCTCAAGTGACATGCTGGGAGCTCCTTTGCTTCCTTCAGAGCTGCTGGGAAGGACGTTGAAGTCTGATGCTGTGGGACTCACAACTGCCCTTTAGCCAGGTGCTCCGACCTGGGAAGATGGGGCTTTATTTATAAGTCCCTGATGGGCTGCTGCCTTTTTTTCAGAGATGCCCTGCCCAGCAAGGATGGAGTCTAGTTACAGTCTGCCTGCAGAGGCCTTGCTCAGCTGTCTTAGGCTCTGCCCAGCTGCTGTGTAAACTTTCTTGTGATTTTGTTTACGCAGTCAAGGTTAGAACTGCCTTGGTAATGGTGGACATCCTTCCCGCCACTGAGCTTGACCATCCTCAGTCAAGCTCAAACTGCTGTGCTGGCTGAGAAAATCTGAAGCCAGTGAGACTCAGTTTGGTGGTCTTTGTGGAAGTGGGATCCACCAAGCTGATCACTTGGCTCTCTGCCTTCAGCCTTCAGCCTCCTCTTTTTTTTCAGGGAAATAGGAGGTTCTGTATCACAGGTATTTCAGGCACCGGCTAAAATGGCAACCTAGTTTTGTGCTGGAAACCCACAGTGCCAGCTAAAATGACCACCCAGTGTTGTGTTGGAAACCCACCATGCTTATGTTGGCATTGGCGGGAATCTCCTGGTCTTTAGGCTGTAAAGGCCATGGGAAAAATGCAGTATTTTGAGGTGGAGTGCCAGAGTGCCTGTCCCCAATGGCCTCCCTTGGGCAGGAGGGGGAGTTCTCCAATCTCTTGTACTTCCCAGGTGAGGCAACACCCCACCTTGCCTTGGTTTGCCCTCCTTCGGCTACACCCACTGTCCAACCAGACCCATTGAGATGAACCTGGTACCTCAGTTGGAAATGTGGAGATCACTCACTTTCTGTGTTGCTCTGCTGGGAACTGCACTCCAGAGCTCTCCCTATTCAGTCATCTTGGTGCAAGTCCAGACCAATATTCTTAACGATCATCATTGGGGAAATGTTCAACAAAATACTAGCAAATTGAATCCAGCAGCATGTTAGAAAGGTAACGCACCATGATAAAACAGACTTTATCCCTGGGATGCAAGAGGCTCTTTAACACATGTGAATCAATAAATGTGATTAATCACATAAACAAAACTAAATACGAGAACCACATTATTATCTCAATAGGTGTAGAAAAGGCTTTCAATAAAATTTAGCATCCTTTCATGTAAAAAAACTCTCAATAAATTAGGTTTTGAAAGAACATACCTCAAAACAATAAGAGCCATCTACAACAAACCCACAGCCAGCATCCTACTGAATGAACAAAAGCTGGAAACATTTCTTTTGAATACTGGCAGAAGACAGGATGTGATCTCTCACCACTCCTATTTAACATAGCATTGAAAGTCCTGGCCGGGGTACTCAGTTAAGAGAAAGAAGTAGAGGACATCCAAATACAAAGAAAGTCAAACTATCCCTGATTGCAAATGACATCATTCTATAGCTAGAAAACCCCGTAGTCTCAGCCCCAAATCTTCTTGGTGATAAACAACTCCAGCAAAGTCTCAGGATACAAAATCAATATATGAAAATCTGTGGCATTCTTATGCATCAACAATAGCCAAGCCAAGAGCCAAATTAGGAGCACAATCCCACTTACAATTACCAAAAAAGAATAAAATACCTAGGAATACAGCTAACCAGGAAGGTGAAAGATCTCTCTAATGAGAATTATAAACAACTGCTCAATGAAATCAGAGACGATGCAAACAAATGGAAAGACATTTCATGCTCATAAATAGAAGAGTCAGTATTGTTAAAATGGTCATACTGCCTAAGCAATTTACAGATTTCATGCTATTCCTATCAAACTACCAATGATATTTTTCACAGAACCAGAAAAAGCTAATTTAAAATTTATATGGAACAAAAAAAGAGCCCGAATAACCAAGGCAATCCTAAGCAAAAAGAACAAAGCTGTAGGCATCTTGCTACCCAAAGTGATGCTCTACTAAGGGCTACAGTCACCAAAACAGTATGATGCTGGTACAAAAACATCAACATAGACCAGTTAAACAGAATAGGAAGTTAGAAGTAATGCTGCACACCTACAACCATCTAATCTTTGATAAAGCTGGCAAAAACAAGTAATGGAGCAAGGGCTCCCTAAACAATAATCAGTGTTGGGATAACTGGCTACCCTTATGCAAACGATTAAAACCAGACCCCTTTCTTATACTATAATCAACTCAAGATTTATTGAAGACTTAAATGTAAAACCCAAAACTGTAAAAACCATGGAAGGCAACCTAGGATATATCATTCTGGACATAGGAATTGGCAAAGATTTTATGACATAGATGCCAAAAGCAATAGCAACAAAAGCAAAAATTGACAAATGGGATCTGATTAAAGAGCTTCTACACCAGCAAAAGAAACTATCAACATCTGGAGTTAATTTTTATATAAGGTGAAAGGAAGGGGTCCAGTTTTAGCTTTCTGTACATGGCTAGCCACTTTTCCCAACACCATTTATTGAACAGGGGATACATTCCCCATTGCTTGTTTTTGACAGATTTGTCAAAGATCAGATGGTTGTAGATGTGTGGCGTTACTTCCAAGGCCTCTGTTCTGTTCCGTTGTTCTACGTCTCTGTTTTGGTACTAGTACCATGCTGTTTTCATTACTGTAGCCTTGTAGTATAGTTTGAAGTCAGGTAGCATGATGCCTCCAGCTTTGTTCTTTTTGCTTAGGATTGTCTTGGCTATGTGACCTCTTTTGGTTCCATATGAAGTTTAAGGTGGTTTTTCCAGTCCTGTGAAAAAGATCAATGGTAGTTTGATGGGGATAGCATTGAATCTGTAAATTACTTTGGTCAATATGGTCATTTTCATGATATTGATTCTTCCTAACCATGAGCATAGAATGTTTTTTAATCGGTTTGTGTCTTCTCTTATTTCCTTGAGCAGTGGTTTGTAGTTCTCCTTGAAGAGGCCATTTATGTCCCTCGTTAATTGTATTCCTAGGTATTATTTTTCTCTTTTTAATAATTGTGAATGAGAGTTTGCTCATGATTTGGCTCTCTACTTGTCTGTTTTTGGTGTATAGGAATGCTTGTGATTTTTCGCACCTTGATTTTGTATCCCGAGACTTTGCTGAAGTTGCTTCTCATCTTAAGGAGATTTTGGGCTGAGACAATGCAGTCTTCTAAATATACAATCATGTGGTCTGCAAAGAGAGAGAATTTGACTTCCTCTTTTTCTAATTGAATACCCTTTACTTCTTTTTATTGCCTGATTGCTGAGGCTACAACTTCCAATACTATGTTGAATAGGAATGGTGAGATACAGCACACTTGTCTAGTGCCAGTGTTCAAAGGGAATGCTTCCAGTGTTTGCCCATTCAGTATGATATTGGCTGTGAGTTTGTCATAAATAATTTTTATTATTTTGAGATATGTTCCATTTATATCTAGTTTATTGAGAGTTTTTAGCATAAAGGACTGTTGAATTTTGTCAAAGGCCTTCTCTGCATCAATTGAAATAATCGTGGTTTTTGTCTTTGATTCTGTTTATATGATGGATTATGTTTATAGATTTGCGTATGTTGAACAAGACTTGCATCCCTGGGATGAAGCCTACTTAATCGTGATGAATAAGCTTTCTGATGTGCTGTTGCATTCAGTTTGCCAATATTTTATTGAAGGTTTTGCATTGATGTTCATCATGGATATTGGTCTGAATTTTTTTTTTTTTTTTTCAGTTGTATCTCTGCCAGGTTTTGGTATCAGGATGATATGGTCTTATAAAATGAGTTAGGCAGGATTTCTTCTTTTCGTATTGTTTCGAATAGTTTCAGAAGGAATGGTATCAGCTCCTCTGTGTACCTCTGGTAGAATTTGGCTGTGAATCCATCTGGTCCTGGGCTTCTTTTGGTTGGTAGGCTATTAATTGCTGTGTCAATTTCAGACCTTGTTATTGGTCTATTCAGAGATTTAAGTTCTTCCTGGTTTAGTCTTGGGAGGGTGTAAGTTTCCAGGAATTTATCCATTTCTTTTAGATTTACTGGTTTATGTGCATAGAGTTGTTTGTAGTAATCTCTGATGGTAGTTTGTATTTCTGTGGAATCAGTGGTGATATCCCCTTTATAATTTTTTTTAATTGCATCTATTCAATTGTCCTCTCTTTTCCTTTTCATTTGTCTGGGTAGCAGTCTATCTATTTTTTTTTTTTTGATCTTTTATAAAAAAGGCTCCCGGATTTATTGTTTTTTTGAAGGTGTGTGTGTGTGTGTGTGTGTGTGTGTGTGTGTGTGTGTGTGTGTATCTCCTTCAGTTCTATTCTGTTCTTAGTTATTTCTTGTCTTCTGCTAGCTTTTACATTTGTTTGATTTTGCTCCACTAGTTCTTTTAATTGTGACAATAGTATGTTGATTTTAGACCTTTTCTTACTTCTCATGTGGGCATGTAGTGCCATAAATTTCCCTCTAGACACTGCTTTAAATGCGTCCCAGAGTTTCTGGTAGATTGTGTCTTCATTCTCATTGGTTTTGAAAAACATCTTTATTTCTGCCTTGATTTCATTATTTATCCAGTAGTCATTCAGAAGCAGATTGCTCAGTTTCCTTAGAATAAACCTACGCAATACCATTCAGGACCTAGGCATAGACAAGGACTTCATGACTAAAACACCAAAGGCAGTGGTGACAAAAGCCAAAATAGATAAATGGAATCTAGTTAAACTTATCAGCTTCTGCACAGCAAAGGAACAATCATTAGAGTGAAGTGGCAACCAACAGAATGAGAAAATTTTTTTGCAAGCTACCCATCTGACAAAGGGCTAATATCCAGAGTCTACATAGAATTAAAACAAATATACAAGAAAAAAACAAACAACCCCATGAAAAAGTGGGTGAAAGATATGAACAGGTACTTTTCAAAACAAGACATTTATGTGGCCAGCAAACATATTAAAAAAAATGCTCATTATCACTGGTCATTAGAGAAATGCACATGAAAACCACATTGAGATACCATCTCATGTCAGTTACAATGGCAGTCATTTAAAAATCTGGAAGCAACAGATGCTGGAGAGGATGTGGAGAAATAGGAACACTTTTACACTGTCAGTGGGAGTGTAAATTAGTTCAACCACTGTGGAAGACAGTGTAGTGATTCTTCAAGGATATAGAAATAGAAATCCCATTTGACCTAGCAATCCCATTACTGGGTGTATACCCAAAGGAGTATAAATCGTTCTGTTATAAAGACACATGCATATGTATGTTCACTGTGGCACTGTTTATAATAGCAAAGACTTGGAACCAACCGAAATGTCCATCAATGATAGACTGGATAAAGAAAATGTGGCCCATATACTCCATGGAATACTATGCCACCATAAAAAAGAATGAGTTCATGTCCTTTGTAGGGATGTGGATGAAGCTGGAAACTATAATTCTCAGCAAACTGACACAAGAACTGACAACCAAACACTGCATGTTCTCTTAAGTGGGTGTTGAACAATGAGAACACATGGACACAGGGAGGGGAACATCACACCCTAGGGCTTGTTCGTGAGTGGGAGGCTAGGGGAGGGATATTGAGGTGAAGAGATTGGGGAGGGATAACATTAGGAGAAATACCAAATGTAGGTGAAGTGTGGATGGAGGCAGCAAACCATCACGGCATGTGGGTGAAAGATATGAACAATGCTTCAAGATCTTCACATGCACCCAAGTACTTAAAGTGTAATAATAATGAAAAGATACTATCAACAGATCAAATAGATATCCTATAGCAGTGTTCCCCAACCTTTTTGGCACCAGGGACTGGTTTCATGGGAGACAATTTTTCCACAGTGGGGGGGTGTTTGAGGGATGGTTTTGGGTTGAAATTTTCCACCTCAGATCATCAGGTGTTAGAGTTTCGAAAAGAGTGCACAACCTAGATCCCTCACATGCACAGTTCACAATGAAATTCACGCTCCTATGGGAATCTGATGCTACTGCTGATGTGACAGGAGGTGGAACTCAGGCAATAATGCTCACTTGCCCACCACTCACCTCCTGCTGTGATGCCAGGTTCCTAATAGGCCATGAACTGGTACCATTCCGTGGCCTGGGATTTGGGGACCCCTTCCCTATAGAATGGATGAAAATATTTGCAAACTATGCACCTGACAGAGTTGGAATATCTGGCATTTATAAGCAACTTAAACCAATTTACAAGTAAAAAACAAACAACTTCATTAAAAAGTCGGCCAAGGACGTGAATAGACACTTTTTGAAAAAAGCCATACCTGCAACCAACAAATATATGAAAAAAGCTCAACATCACTGATCATTAGAGAAATGCAAATCAAAACCACAATCAGATAGCATCTTATACCAGTCAGACTGGCTATGAGTAAAAAGTCATAAAAACAACAAATGCTGGCTAGGTAGGAGAGAAAAAGGAATGCTGATCCTTTTTTGGTGAGAGTGTAAATTAGTTCAACCAGGTGGAAAACAGTGGGACAATTCTTCAAACAGCTAAAAACAGAACTACCATTTGAGTGAGCAGTTCCATTACTGGGTATGTACCCAAAGGAATATAAATTGTTCTGTGATAGAGAACATGCACATGTATGTTCATTGCAGCAGTATTCTATAATAAATGAATAATATTTAGGTATAAATAATGAAAGTCATAAAAAGATATCTGAAGCTAGAAAAACTTAGGTCCGAGGGGACAAATTTGAGGTGAAATTTTATGCCTTTTGACTTGTGGGGAGGGGGATTATCAAGACGATGGATCTCTCTTTCTTCCTCAAATCACCATGGTTAAGGGACAATCTTTTTCATCTATGAAGAAGGACACAGTTTATGAGTGTGATAGGCAGAGTACACAGTCTCAAAAAATCTTGAAGCCTCGTGGACACTGTAGTATACAATTCTAGACATCACTGCTCTCGTCTTTTATGTGAATTATGCTCCCATGGAGTTGGGAAATGTGTTGCTGCTGTGCTCTCCCCATATATTTATTTACTTCTAGACTACTCACTTATGCTGTCAAGAATAAGAAGCAGCCCTTGGGACACTCTAGATTCCTTCATAATTTAATGTGTTAAGTCAGTTTCTCTAAGCAATGTATTAACTTTGATACTTAACCCACTGCCTGAATAAAACAATGTACTTCTCTGAATCACTTTTCAATTCTTGAAAAAGGTCAGGGTCATTTATTTGATTTCTTACAAAAGGAGACTCCTGGTACCAAGCCACAAGAGACTCATTAACATAAATTCACATAACACCCCTATAAAATTGTTTAAAATGATTGATGTGTGTGGTAGGCCCTAGTATCTTTTAGATCCTGGAATAAATGCTTTAAATTGAAATTTTTGGTTTAGTCTGAAGATTATGTAGCTGACACATCTTTGGGCAAAGCAAGATAAGAGTACTCTCACATTGCTGGGTGCAGTGGCTCATGCCTGTAATCCCAGCACTTTGGGAGGCTGAGGCAGGCAGATCACCCGAGATCAGGAGTTGGAGATCAGCCTGGCCAACATGGCAAGACCCCGTCTCTACTAAAAAGTACAAAAAATTAGCCAGATGTGGTGGCATGTGCCTGTAATTCCAGCTACTCAGGAGGTTGAGGCAGGAGAACTGTTTGAATTCAGGAGGTCGAGGGTGCAGTGAGCTGAGATTGCACCCCACCACTCCAACCTGGGTGACAGCAATACTCTGTCTCAATAAAGAAAAGAAAAAAGAAAAGAAAAGGGGGAGGAGAGGGGAGAGGAGAAAAGGAAAGAAGAGAAAAGAAAAGAAAAGGTCAGTTGGGGGGAATTAGGGGAGGGGTGGTGGGGGGTGGGGAGGTGGGGAGAGATAGCAAGGGGAGAAATGCCAGATGTAGGTGATGGGGAGGAAGGCAGCAAATCACACTGCCACGAGTGTTCCTATGCAACAATTTTGCATGTTCTTCACATGTACCCCAAAACCTAAAATGCAATAAAATAAATGGGAAAAAAAAAAAAAGAAAAGATAGAGTGCTCTCATGTTAGTTCAGGTTCACAAAGATTTTAATTTTTTTTTAGAAACTGGGTCTTGTGTTATCAAGGCTGGAATGGAATGGTGTGATCCATGGCGGCCCACTATAATCTTGAACTCCTGGACTCACGTGACCCTCCCACCTCAACCTCATGAGTAACTAGGACTGCAGGTGTGTGTCACCACACCTGGTTAATTTTTTTTTTTTTAACTTTTAAGTTTAGGGGTACAAGTGCAGGTTTCATACATAGGTAAACTTGTGTCATGGGGGATTTTTGTACAGATTTTTTCATCATACAGGTATTAAGCCTAGTACCCCTTAGTTATTTTTCCAAATCCTCTCCCTCTTTGCACTCTCCACACTCAAGTAGGTCCCAGTATCTCCTCTATGTGCCCATGTGGTCTCATCATTTAACTCCCACTTAGAAGTGAGACTGTGCGATACTTGGTTTTCTGTTCTTGTGTTAGTTTGCTAAGGATAATGGCTTCCACCTCCATCCATGTTCCTGCAAAGAACATGATCTTGTCTTTTTTTATGGCAGCATAGTGTTCCATGTTATATATGTAACACATTTTCTTTATCCAGTCTCTCATTGATGGATATTTAGGTTGATTTCATGTCTTTGCTACTGTGAATAGTGCTGCAGTGAACATACACGTGCATGTTCTTTAGAATAGATATAAATAAATATAATATTTATATTCCTTTGGGTATATACTCTTTAATAGGATTGCTGGGTCAAATTGTATTTCTCTCTTTAGGTCTTTTAGGAATTGCCACACTGTCTTCCGCAATGGCTGAACTAATTTATACTCCCACTAATAGTGTATAAGTGTTCCCTTTTCTCCAAAACCTAACCAGCATCTGTTACTTTTTGACTTTTTATTAATAGCCACTATAACTGATGTGAGTTGGTATCTCATTGTGGTTTTGATTTGCCTTTCTTTAATGATCAGTAATATTGAGCTTTTCTTCATATGGCTGTTGGCTGCAAGTACGTCTTTTTTGAAAAGTGTCTGTTCATGTCTTTTGCTTACTTTT